TTCTCTGTATTGACGACTTTTTAAGAAAAGTATTTTTATAGAAATTGATTCCGCATACCCCAAACCTATATCTGGGTATATATATATATATATATATATATATATATATATATATATATATATATATATATATATAATATTTTTTGTTTAAATATATAATTCCTGCCTATTTTTTTTCATTATTTATAAATTTAATGATGTGTAGTTTTTCGTGTAGGCATAAAGGACATGGGTCATCCCAAAACAAGAACTTGTAAAACCTGGGCTGACCCATACCCTTTATGCCTACACGAAAAGTACACATCATTAAACTAGCATAGTCACCCAACAAAAACGAATTTATTATGACGGACTATGCTTAAAAACACACGTAAAGCAAAAGATAGCTTATTTCTAAAATATCGCTTGAAGATGAAACGAGACTAAACACCTCAATTCAACTTAATTTTAATAATTATTTGGATGATTTCGGCTCTCGTTTTTGAAATATGAGAACTCTTATGTAGTGAAGGAATCATATTGTTAAACAAAAAATATTATTATAATTAAGCTCTACTTATGTATGGAGCACTGTCTTCTTAAAAATAAAAACAAAAATACTAAGGAACTCCGGATTATGCACCGAACGTGTTCTTTTCTATTTTCTGTATACATGCACGCACACACACGCACGCACGCACACACACACACACACACACACACACACACACACACACACATATATATATATATATATATATATATATATATATATATATATATATATATATAAAGAGGGATAATGAAAGATTTAGCTTGCAATCGACAGATTTTAACATTAATTTTCGTGAACACCCTTATTTTATGAGACACACCGTTTATTAAAAACTTTATACATATTATTAAAATCCAATATACAATAAATAACAACAGGGTAACATATAAATTAAATATATATGTTTACATGAAACTAACTTATATATATAATATTAAAATTAGATATTATATATATATATATATTAAAAAATGAAAATCAAAATAAAATATAAAATAAAAATGAAAAACAATATATATATATATATATATATATATATATATATATATATATATATATATATATATATATAGAGAGAGAGAGAGAGAGAGAGTTTTGGATTTTTACTAATTTTTAATAGATTTTAAAACCTTAATTTTCGTATACACCCATATTTTAGTAGTCGCTCTGTTTATTAGAAACGGTATATTTATTTTCGTCTACGGAACTCAATATACGAGAAAATTCATAAATGACCAATATTCCCCACGCCCGCGTCGTCAGGACTCAAACCTGTGTACCACCCATTGCAGCAGAAAATGTCATTATACCCATCGTGATTTTAAAAGGCTGTATTCAGCCTTGCATGATCGGGCGAGACATTTAAAAGCACATGGGATCTAACGACAGTCTCTCCTGCAAAGGTGGGTATGCAGTTTCAAATCCTGGTGGTATTTGCATGTCTTTATTAAGATTAATCAAATATTTAGGCCGATGGACAAAAATAAATATGCTGCGTAAAATAAAGGGTGCGTCTATTTAAATATGGTTATACACAAAAAATAATATTAAAATTCATATATATATATATATATATATGTAAGCAAATATATGGATATAAATCCGACAGTATGAAAGAAAAATACAGAAAAAACAAAATTCTGAATATGCATTATTAATGTTAAAATAAAGTCGACGTCGGACGTTTCAGTCTATTTAAGACCATCTTCATGGACATTTTCATTTAAACATAATTAACATTATAACTTATAACAATTTAACACAAAAGACGATGGACATAAGAGCCCAACTAATTCAAACAGATAACTGAAATTTTATACAGATCAGCGTAGTCGTCTCGTGGGCGATGTTGTTAAGACGTATTCGAAGATGATTTCCAAAAATTAAAATATCAAAAAGTCGATTGAAAAATTTTTATAAAATTTCAGTTATCTGTTTGAATTAGTTGGGCTCTTATGTCCATCGTCTTTTGTGTTAAATTGTTATAAGTTATAATGTTAATTATGTTTAAATGAAAATGTCCATGTGAAGATGGTCTTAAATAGACCGAAACGTCCGACGTCGACTTTATTTTTAACATTAATAATGCATATTCAGAATTTTGTTTTTTCTGTTTTTTTCTTCATATATATATATATATATATATGTGTGTGTGTGTGTGTGTGTGTGTGTGTGTGTGTGTGTGTGTAAATTTAGAAAAAAGGAAAAGAACACGTTAGGTAAATAATCCGGAGTTCTTTAATATTTTTGTTTTTATTTTAAAAAAACAGTGCTCGATACAGAAGTAGAGCTTAAATTATATTTTTTTTTTAAAAAGAATATGATTTCTTCGCTACGTAAGAGCCAAAAACCTTAATATAATTATTGAAATTAAATTGAATTAAAATATCATGTCCTGTTTCATCCTCATGCGAAAATTTAGGAATCTAGAATTTAGCATTCCTAAATTTAGGAATCTAGGATTTAGGAATTTAGGATTCCTCAATTTGCGAAAATTTAGAAATCTAGAATTTAGGAATTCGCTTGAGGATGAAACAGGGTATGATACTTCAATTTAATTTCAATAATTATATTGAATTTTTGGCTCTTGATTTTGAAACTTGAGAACTCTTATGTAACGAAGGAATCATATTTTAAAAAAATAAATTATATATATATATATATATATATATATATATATATATATATATATATATATATATATATTAGCAATTTAATGAATTGAAGAGATAGTTCGAAGAGGATATAAATCCAGGGAGAGTTCAATGTAGACTACAGAGCATTATAATGATAATAATAAGATGGAGACATTAATTATCAATTTAGTTTCTAATTTTTATTTCATGAACATCGAAATATTTAACTCATCAGAAGGAAATCACCTACGCAAACCATTTATCGCTCTCTCTCTCTTTCTCTCTCTCTCTCTCTTTCTTTCTCTCTGAATAAATAAATAAATTTCAACATACAACTATAGTGACTACTTGGACAATGAATGTCAAATATCTCCTTGCCCGTAAACTGCTTATATTACTATGAACTTGTATATTGTAGGCTTCTATCCGAGAATATATTTTCCAAAGTATAGACTCTATCCTCTATCCGGTAAACAATGGAGACCTGATGATGGCCATCGTTTACTGAGCAGAAACTATGTGCCTTTAATAGCAACTATAATAATCAGGACGAGAACCTTAGTCGAAAATAAAAATACTGAAGCTTTATATATATATATATATATATATATATATATATATATATATATATATATATATATATATATATATATATATATATATATATATATATATTAAGAAATGGACAAAGTCAGACAATTTATTTATTAAAGACATTTTATGTTTAACGTTCTTTTTATAGATACAAGTATTTAAGTAAATGCTATGTTTATAATAAACAGTATTTAATAACATTTACCGGCCTGAATGTCCGAGGAAATTTTCATAGAAAATATTCGCCCTTTGATAGGATGCAGGTTGTTAATCCTGTTATTATAAACAGATATTTATTAAATACTTTTATCTATAAAAAAGAACGTTAAACATAAAAATGTCTTTTTAATATATATATATATATATATATATATATATATATATGAGCATTTATTTTAGACAAGGTCATCTTCCCTTTCTGTATTCAATACAGAAAATCATAATGATGTATTGGAAAAGAATTGGCCATTTTCCACGTTGCGGTATGAGATAAAGTGCAAGGAGTCTGGTCGTGAGAGATTCATGTACGCAAGTGTTATGTGAATGTCATCAAAAATATCAATAAAAAAGCGCACCATATATCACAGTTACTGACACACACATACGCACAAACAGAAACACACATGAACAAACACATACACATATCTATACTATGCCGTGGGGGAGAAATAGAAATCAAAAATACATGTTGACTTATCAGTTTCACATCATATAGGTTGAAGATCGCTTGGGGTAGGAAAATAAGAGTAACCATGCACTGACGAATGCCGTATTCACACAGTCTCTATCTGAAAACGGTTGATCTTCAGTATTTAGCATACTTATCTTATAAATATACACAATTTTAAACAATATATATACATATGGATAGAAAAATGATATTGAGATGAAAATAAATAGGTAAACTAGACATAACTCAGGGAATTAAATGCACATATGTGTGTGTGACTACACACACACACACACACACACACACACACACACACACACACACACATATATATATATATATATATATATATATATGAAGAAAAATATGGAAAAACAAAAATCCGAATATGCAAGTATTCTGTTTTAATGTTGTTTCAATGTCGACGTCAGACGTTTCGGTCTAGTAGACCTTCTTCAGGACATAGTTATTAAAACATAATTAAAATTAGACGATATTCAAGTCAACATGAAAAGACTATAGACATAAGACTAATCAAAACAGAATAACTGAAATTTTTAAGATCAGCGTTCCGTTTCGCAATACGATCACGTGGGCGTCAGGTGGGCTTCATGTGGGCGATGTTGTGAAAACGTATACCTAAAATAGAGTATGTTTTAAATGAAAAAGAGTTTTATTTTAATCTAAAAATTATAAGTACGTTTGTCCAGCATTAATCTTGCCAGAAAAGGGGAAATATTAAAGAATATTAAAAAAATATATATTTTTGTGAGTGCGAGTAAGAAAAGAAATAAACCTGGCGAAACGTTAATTTAAGAGAAAAAATAATGATAAAATAAGAATGATCTTTGATGAGGTCAGCACTTAGAGAGAAAATTGAAAGGAAGAGAAATATAACAACAACAACAACAACAACAACAAAAATAAAATAAACGTAAATCGAGAGATAAAGACAGAATATTAAATTCATCAACGCAACTAAAAGTATTTAACCAAAATTACGGAAACAAATGAAATGACTGTAAAAAGGTAAACTGAGAGAAAAAGAAAGACTTAGGTCAAAACGCTAGAGGGGGAAAGAGAGAGAGAGAGTGAGAGAGAGAGAGAGATAGAGAGAAATCGGAGAAAAGGTTAAAACAAAAGAGAATAAACGTACACAGGGCTTAAGTGAGATTGACACTGAGAGAAAGAACAAGATAACGGGAAAGTTAGAGAAAAAGAGTAAAATGTAGATCGGGCGTATGGGAAGAATCAGAAAATTATTCATAGAGAGAATAAGAGAGATAGAATGACGTCTGATATCGTGTAATAATATTAGAGAGATTCTGGAGAAGTTAAAGACAGAGAACATCTTAAATAGAGAGAAAAAGAAAGAAAGTCGGCTGAAACAGCATTGAGATTATTACAGATAGAGGGAGGGAGGGAGAGAGGGAGGGAGAGAGAGAGAAGAGAAGAAAGAGGCGAAAGTAAACGAAACAGAAAAAACGTAAATGCTGAGGAAGAGAAAGAATGTTTGTTGGGCCAGTGTGTCTGTGTGCATGTGTGCGCGCGTTTGTGTTTGTGTTTGTGTGTGTGTGTGTGTGTGTGTGTGCTTTTGTAAGTGTGCTAGAGCAGTGGTCGCCAACCTTTTGAAATTCATAGACCACTAAATGTATAATTTTAAGTTTGGCGGACAACTAATATTTATTTGGAAGCTAAATACATTTATCTAATAATAATCGGAAAACTTGTATTTTATTAATATGAAATGTACCAATTAAAGGTGACAAAGTTATAGTATAATTATTTTAAAAAAAATTAAAAATTTCAAGTTTATTCAAGTCCAGTAAAAAGTTGTTTTTTTTAAATATTTTGCAAAAAATATTTTTCGCGTATGAATGCTTATGAATTTGTATCTGGTGCGTAAGCTGATTCTTGAAGATCCCGCTTTTAATCCATTGCTATGGCATGTTTGTAGTAAATTATACTAGTAAACTATTTAGTAACTAGTTATCAACAGTAATGGTAAGACACTATTAAGTAAAAAGTATTGAAGATGACTTCGTTAGTCATGTTAGTTTATACTATGGCTGGATGATGTCACTTTTGTGTACTCATGTTTATTTCGAGTTTACATAAGGTCTTGTGCATCCATAAAACGTTTTGTTACTCGTCATTTTTTTTTTAATCTGAAGCTTCATACAAATTGAAAGAATATCCCAATTTTTCTGCGGACCATCAAAAATTTTGCACGGACCACTAGTTGGTGACCACTGTGATAGATAGATAGATAGATAGATAGATAGATAGATAGATAGATAGATAGATAGATAGATAGAAGACGTACGTAGAATGAGAAAGAATAGAGACTAGACTGAATTGAGAGAATTCGCTAACACGTAAAATGAGAAGTCATGTAAAAGGTAGCATAAATTTCATAATTATATTTGATCTAATAACTTCAACGTGCCATTATTTACAAAGCTATAAACTTCGGAGCAGAAGGACATTTGCCAAGTGCATAATTTAATTTTAAAATATATTGATCCCATTATTTACAACATGGCTATCGAGTAGTTAAGCCTACAGATACCTTGTTACGCTCATAGGGTGGTCCCTAAACCGAGCTAATTTCCTTATGGCAATCTACCAAGAAGGAAATCACAACTTGAGTTCAATAATGCTTTGACGTATCTCGCGGCTGGAATATAATCGATTTGCGATAAGTAATTTTACTTATGTACTGGGATTAAGCTGAAATGAATCAAATGACTTCCACCCTGAATGCATTTGGCAGTAATGGCCAGTTTGAGTGCAGTCCACCAAATTTATGAAATTTACATGAATAGAACAATCGCAAATATGGAAGCGTGGAAACGTACAGACGCTGTTTCGTTTTGTATCTGTCTATATTTCTGAGATGAGGTACTATGTACACTATTTACATTATTCGGACTATTGTCCTCATCTTTGTCGCTTTGTTTATCACAACGTTTCGGCCGTTGTACGCTCCGGCCTTATTCAGGTGATTGGAATGTCGAACTGAACCCTTTATTTCGCTCACTGGGGTAGACTGTTCTAGTTCCACGTACCATGCCTAATGGATGTCAGTTATCCCAATTTAATTCCCCTCTCAAACAGAATAATCTACCCCAGTGAGCGAAATAAGGTACCTCGACATCCCAACCGGCTGAAGATGGCCGGAGCGTACAACGGCCGAAACGTTGTGATAAACATAGCGACAAAGATGAGGACAATAGTCCGAATAAAGTAAATAGTACTGTTTTGTTTTTTTGTATTTCAGGAATGTTTTACTGAGCGTAATGTCGATTATATTTTAAGATAAAGGAGATATTTTTGAGTTAATCAAATAAGTTGAACTAATCTTATTTGATAACTGTTTACTTATTGTTCTTAAATCGTTTCGTCACATCGTGCCCTTCGTATCGATGTCATACATGGCTAAAACCTGTTCAGAAATATGTCAGTTGTCGTCTGTATATAGCCTTGTTATCAGATCGATGATTAAAATGGCTTCGAGAGAATGAAGCCTATTATATTATGGAAGTGGAACAATCTGAACTCAAAAACAACCTTAAGTGGGATGATATCTTTCAGTTTAGCTTCTTCTAGACACTCGATCACAGCTAGGGATTCTTCCTTGATAAGTTACGAGACTCATGACGTGATTACATTTTTTATATTTATGCACTTTTCAAATTTAATCTAACGCGTGAACATCCTCCATTATCTATCCTTATCTGTCTCTATTATATCTTTCTTTCTTCTCCTACCAAATCCATTTTTCATTCACTTGCCCACTTTCTTCATTAAAATCCCTTTAGGAGTACCATTTGCCTTGGTTTGCTTTGGTTTCGTTTGTTTTACGGTATATCAACATATATGGGTTATTTAATGCCGACAATATTTTTTTTTTTTTTGCGGTAATATTTTTGATTTGTCAAAAATCTATTTCTGTTAATAATTTCTCCTCAAAAATGTATAGCTGGTAATATTATTTTTTTCAAAAACGTATTACTGGTAATATTTTTTTTCAAAAACGTATTGGTGATAATATTTTTTTTCTTCAAAAATTTATTTCTGGTAATAATTTCTACAAAGTGTTTCTGGTACTAAAACCTATTTTTACACTTTTATAATGCTTTTTACCTCAGTTTCGGGCTTAACTATTTGCCCATAGCTGGGACACTAGAAGGTACTTCCACCCCGGGACAGGGTGTACCTGTAAAAAACAGCAATTAAGAGGAGGTTCCACGTTCCCCAAAGCCTCCTGATCAGAGTCCTTGCTGTTGGATGTAGTTTATCGTCTTACTCTGGACGCGGAAGTAGTTTATCGTCATGCCCAGGACGCCTATTTTCCTTGAGTGCCCCTCGAAACATGTACGAACTCGGGCAAATGAACCTTGAATCTTTTAGCGAGAATCATCCAACTTCCTACCTAGTATACTGGCGCGACACAATCACAAACAAGGAATTTTTACCAATTAACAGAACCCTGGAAGAGCAAATAATTATATAATCAAGATATTGTCTTTCTTGCCAAATACTAACAGAATTTCACAAATGAACCCCCATCACTACTGACAATACTTACCTTATATGAAAAGTTTATTTTCTTAAAATGTTGTTTTATTTGTAATATTTTTTATAAATTTATAAATATAGGATATGTAGGTTAGATAACGGTTGACTCTTGACATGAAGGTGCCACATTTGTAGGTTTCGTGGAAGCATCCTCACGGTTTTCCGTTCCATAATTCAACAGTTATATGAAATAAGCTGTTTGATGTATTGTGGCTCCTAGCTGTGAGGGTATGAACTGGTTGTACCAAGGTTTGTAGTTCGCCTGAAAATCTCCCATGACAATAGAGCAGTGAGAGTCTAGGAATGTTTCGTGTGTGGGCAAGTGGTTCTCGTGTGGAAAATAATTAATCACCTACATCATGCAGATACTTTTGAACGTCTCTCAAGGCTGGGAAGGTAGGATTTGTCTGTTCCGTCCCAGATGTAACTGAAAAACTCCCTTTCTGGTCTGATCTGGTTCTTGTAAAGTTAGTTTATATTAGGAGATGTCAGCTACGCTAAAGTGAACCGATAACGTAGCCATTGTCTTTAGCGATGGATCGGGTATACAAGTTCCACTTGAGGTCTGGTGTAAGTTCGATTCTGAAAAGATGTTTCAGGCAAGGTGTTTTATATTAGTTTACAACATAAAAAAAAAAACAAAAACGGAAGCAACAAGCGAGGAAAAACACGTGTTTCACGTCAGAACGAATCTATTTTTAACTGACGAAATCATATTGATTGAAATTCAAGTCAACGCAATTGTTCCTTATCGTTTTAGTATATACCCGACTCAGACTTTTATAAAAATTACTAGACTTATACTTTGGGCAAAATCTTTTTCATTAATTACCTAACAGGAAATGTTTAATGTCTTCTTGATTGATTTATAATCAACAATCCGATGATTCATTCGGACTATGATTAACTAAGCCCTTTCTGACGAGTGACCCGCGGACACATCAGATATGTACTTAGATGACCTGATTCTGAAAACCACATATTGCTTTTCTGTTTCACTCGCGATCACATTGGTGTGGCTATGATCCAACTACAATTCAACCACTTATTGCCCTTTACATTTTGTCATTCATTCGTCCAGCCTTTTTCTTTCTTTCTTTCTTTCTTTCGTCTATTTTTATTTTCATCTTTCTTTTCTTTCTTCTTTGTTTCTTTGTTTCTTTCTTTCTTTCTACACTCGACCGCCATTTATCACGCCCGATTTCTTCCATGATTCGCTGAATGATTTCAGCGCTTTGAATGTGTTTGATCAATTCAAACAACTCGGCTAGTTCTTGTTGGACAACTGCCAATTAGTTGTGCAACTACAATATAATTAGCAACCATTGAACAACGTCATTATTAGCCATCCAACATTTCTAGAGAACGATCGTATAATATCCAAAAGCTTTTATCGAAATGGAACGGTACGCTGTAGTAAATCCTCTTAAAAGGCATTCGCATGTATATCTCGAGGGTAGATGAAAATATTGTTGGCGATGATGCTTGAGGTTTTATAATATTAGTTTGTATATGACAGCAGGAATATTAATAAAGATTTGGGAAAGTTTGGTTCTTCGGTTATATATCTCGAGATTATCAATAAAAATAGATAAAAGTTTAAATCCACCATCCTAACGTGACTTCCTTGTGCATTTTCTACAAATATTTTCATGGCAATTGTTCTAATGAGCTTTACTAGATGGGATCTCGATCTTGTACAACTAGATTGCCCATTAGGTCCCATTGTTTTATAGTTTATTTAGCTAGATATAATCTTATGGTATATTGTAATTGATCCTTTCATTGCACTTCTCGCCTGTGTAACTCTCCTACGGTTTCTTACTTCCTGTCACTTATGGCCACCTTCTGTGTTCCTTTATCTTTCCTTAAATTTTCCTATCTACTCAATAATGTTTTGTCATTTTCTTAAAATCCGAGTAACGTTTGCGTGTCTATGGTGTTATTGCTTGGATTGGGTTGACATGATTCAACGAATCATGTTTTATGCTTTTTGTTTTTTAATTAACTTTTAATAACACCAAAAACAGAAACGTGGGATATCTCGGTTCTTGTTTAAAAATAACCAGAAATGATAACAGATGTTTACAAAAGAATAGAGAGCGAAGAAATCGAAAACGTCATGTAAATGAAACTAATATATCCAAAGGTATGGCGCATGAAATTAGAACAATCAATCCACGGGGACTTAATAAAGAGTTCGGTCCAAAATTTAAACTAATGTCTCCTGAAGAAGGCAGGGGCGTACAACGGCAGAAACGTTGTGAATATGACAACAAAGATGAGGACAATATTTTTAACAATGTAAATGGTATAAGTGTGACGAACTTGTTGAAATCCTGAAGGGATACCTCACATAAAGGTTGATGATGATTATGTTGATGATGATGACCTATTTAAAACCATAGAGAGTATATATTAGAGAAGAACTATTAAAATTTAATTAAATAACGGCTTGCTTGAAAAAATATATTTAAAATAGATATAAACTGTATATCTATCTATCTATCTATCTATCTATCTATCTATCTATCTATCTATCTCTCTCTCTCTCTCTCTCTCTCTCTCTATATATATATATATATATATATATATATATATATATATATATTATCTTAGGAAAACCAGTGATAGCATGTAACATATTCTCTCTGAAATTCATTTAGCTTTTAAGACTTCGTCGGACTAAAGTGAAGTTTACGTCGAATCGCTTTATCATTGATTTACCTAACGTTGTTACAGTATATAAAATACATATATCTTTTTTTTATATATATATATATATATATATATATATATATATATATATATATATATATATATATATATATATATATATTTACAGAAAGACTTACAGATAGACAGATCTGGATATGTTTAAATTGAACGTGTAAAAGTAAAAGAA